AGAAAAATAATTACTGTCAAATTATTTTCCTTATAAAAATTAAACTTATAATTAATTTGCCGTTCTTTTTTTAAATTATTTTGACGTCCTGAACAAAGTCTGGTGACTTCTTTTCCTGAAAATCTGATTATCTCATGTCAATTTCGAAATTACGTTGGAATTTCGATAAGTAACAGATTATTCTGTTGGAATCCAACATCAGTTCTACCACAATGGGCTGAGGCACTATATAAGTCAGGAGGTAACTGTTACAGTTAAGAATGGAATCGGCAACGTAATCTGATAGAACAGAAAGTTCCCTCTCACTTTATGCTACCAATGTCCCGTGGCATAAATGTGACAAAATGAATTCCACTAGTCAAATTTCAATAATTTGTTTGGATGAATCCATTATTTCTGATGGTATTGAGCAATACCTGATTGGTTGAAGCGGAGTACTGAGCTTACATACAATCAAGGCCCGCATAGAAATAGCTGTCACACATAACCTACTGTCCTCAATTACGTAAGGTATTAAATCCCTTTCTATTTACAGCCATCACAGTACTTAGTCTTGATTAGCTCATCATAGCCAATCCTTTACATATCAGTTATTCATCTTTTTTTTTTTATTTCCTCAAACACGAAGAAAAAATATTATAAAGAATAGAATTTGACCCTTCTGAAGAAAAAAATCAGAAAAATAATCGATATTGACAACCAACCATAAACATTTAATAGCCACAATCCAAGTGATTCTTTTCCAATCTGTAATATCAAATTAACAATTTATATATATTGTATTGTTAGATTCCATTAATCAGACATCAGATCATAGCTGCAAATAAACCTAAGGCAGTAGGGGATCCAGGATTTAATTTTTGGGGAGAGATTTCATTTATTTTTTATATAATACTGGTAATTACTCTGGAGGAAAACGAAAGATACTAAAAAAAATTACAAAATAAAGTTTCAGTGGTCCTGAAAAGTATGCCAAAATCAAAAAAATAAACTAGTATTGTAAATGAAATTTAAATCTGAAATTCAAGTTTTAAATTCTAGTTGCCAAACCATCGAATGCCTATCGTATCCAATCCTTACAATCCAAAATCCTCCGTAAAATCCTTGATGCTCCATACTTTGTCACAAATAAAACCATTCATAAAGACCTTAATGTACCATATGTCGCTGATTTAGCTCGAGCCAGATATCTATCCTTTCATGATAAACTTCAGTCTTATCCAAATCCGCTTGTTTCCACTCTTGCTTCTTTCTCGATTCCTGATAATCCTCCTAGGCGTCTGAAAAGGAGATGGCCTCGTGATCTTCTTACTTAAAATTATTTAGAGAGTGCTACCACTGGGTAGTAACTCTTCAAGCCTGTACATGCCATTATTTATATTTGCGCATATTTACTTGTTGTATGTGTATACAGTTGTAAATTCCATTAAATAAACAAAAAAATAAAATAAAAAATTCTGGTTGTCCTGGATATTCCTTGAAGAGAAGTAATATGCTGTGTCCCTCTTTAAAATGAATATCTTTAACAAAAAAAAATCTGTGCAATCAGATGCAATACTTAGAAAGTACTTTTTCTTAAGATCCTATTTACAGGAACAATAATAAATTCAGGGATAATTTTTTTCTTGACATTTTCCTATATTTAGTAACTGAAACAAATGTATGATCATTTAAAAAGAGTCCAGCCAAAAGACCCTCCCATCTTCCCCTCATAGATCCACCAGGCCATGTAGAGAGGCATTCCAAGACCGGAATTGAAAAAATGATAACATTTAAATAACTCAAGCTAACTAAAAACAAATGAATAAACTCAATATTATTAAAACAGGAATAGTTGAAGGTAAATAAAAAAGTAAGTGTAATAATGTTGAGAGGTTATTAGCAATTGTTCTGTTCTTGACAATAATTTCTAATATGACTACCATTTATGACTCTTAGAGGTGTGCATCTTCCCAAAGGTTGTTAGCACATTTCTCTCTCCCAAAAAATTATATTGATTTCTTCTTAAAACAGTGCAAGTGAAAGAATTGTAGTTCATTTAAAATTGCATTTGATGTTCAATGTTTTTTCCTTTGTTCTTCAATTTAAAAGTTCCTCCAAATTGAAACCTCACAAAAATATAGTTTCCTTCAAACATGACTAATCAAAATGTCGCTTATTAGAGTTGATCATTTTCAATAGTTAGCATAATAATTGTTTGAGAAGAGCTATGTGTTCACCTATACTAATACTAATGTGTTAATCTATTCTAATACTACAATACGTATAATACTACAATAGGGGACTAGACTACTAGACTATTCTAGAGAAAACTAGGATACAATTTTTATAATTTTACTTTCATTTGTACTATTTTTAAGAAAAAGAGAGCAATACATTTTTTTGGAAGGACTGATTTTTTTGGCATTGGGATGTGTCATCCTCTTTGGGGTGAGAGATAGACCACTTGGGATGTTCTTGCAATAAGTTTTCTTATTGTAATTCTAAAATTCCCTACTTCTCACAGCCTTCTTATAAATAATATAGGCATCAATAATTGTCATATTATAATCCAGTATTAAAGTTTGACTCTGTGTATATAATACATATTTATATTCACCATCATACAACCTTTCGTTAAACAATAAATACTAATGAGGAAATGTCTGTTCCCACCTTAATTACAAATTGAAAAATAAAATAATTATCATTAAAAAATAAGAAAGTTTTTCCAGAAAAATGAAATTTTTTAATGTTTTAATTAGTAGGGAGCTCATATAACTGAAGAATGAATTACTGATAAAGGAATATGTGAAAGGTTACTGATCACTAGCAATTTTTTTAATTAAATGTATTTTAATCAAAATTATATACACCAATTATAATTCTTTATATTCATTATTTTGGCCATCATAGGTGAATTCTTGAATGGACCCAACCCATTCACATTAATTATATCCTATTATAATATAAAACTGATAATGAAAATGTTTCATAATATTTTATCTGAATGCTCCATGCCAATATTTGAATTATTTTACAATTATAAGTTCTACACATATTTATTTTAAATATTTTATTTTATTTAATCTTAATTCAGATCATAATATAATACAATATTTGGCAGTAATCTTACTGGTAACAATCCTATTCTAATCACATTGGGGAGGTCGAAATTCTTTCATTGGTTCCAAACAATATATTTTAAGCATCCCAGGTCATAATTGAATTTTTGATTTAAAGAACTGACTTGCCTTTTTCCTGGAGGTTAATAAGGAGATTGCTTCTTAAGTGCTGGGCCTTACTAAGCTTCTTGGTATTGTTTCAATTTTGGGATATATACTGCCAAAAATATGTAAAGTATTATCTTTTGTTGTATTTATCCTCAAATAAGGTTTAGAACAAATGATTAAAATAAATGCTCTGTTAAGTGCTATTTATCTGTAATTTTGAGCTATTTATCTGTTAAGCACAGCTTTCCTACATGATTAAGAACTTCTTCTTATCACATTAACAAATACTGATAAAGAAATTTAAGGCTTAAATTCAAGTCTTCCATTGTTTTTGTTCTGAATGTTCCTTGAACAGAACTAATATGCTGGCCCGGCTTAGAATGGGTATCTTAAAAAATATATATAAAAAGAAAAGGAAAAATGCTGTTTCACAACCCCGTATGCAGAGTTTGGATTCAATATTTACAGTTAGTAAAGAAGTACTTTTTCTACACCAACATGTGTGCAGTTGGTGATTTGGCCAGGTTCTTTCTCCACCAAGTATTTCAACTTAATTAATTTAGTGTACTCATTTTATAGGGATGGATATGCCCCAGGAGGTCTCCTGACACTAGGGCAATTCATTGCTAATGTAACAGAATATATAACAGAATATATATATATATATATATAAGCAGGAATTAAATCCAGTCCCTGGAGAATATGAAGGAGTATAGTGCCTTATTGACCGAGATACCCCCCTTATTGAGTACCATTAATAATTATAAAATTATTATACTTATACAGATAAATCACATTATCATTTATGTCACAATAATAAACTAAAAATTGATTAAATAATAATCCCAAAAATAAATCAAAATAATTAGTGAGAAAACTTATTTGTATGTTTTATTTCATCACTGACTATAACCATTATCCAACTTCTGGATTAATATGTTAATAAATATCTATATTAATCCATTTATGGTTTCATTTCAAATATCAAATAATGAAACTTCAATACAAATACATTGAATAAACTTACTATTTCTTAACTGTCTACTGAGGAATTTCTAGAGTTATTTACAAAACTATGCTTGCTGGGTCTAATTATGGAAGCAACAAAATAATCAAAACAGCCCTTTCTGTACTTAAAAGCAAGGCACATCCAACTCAAAATCAAAAGGGGTTAATTATCTAAATATAATTTCGTTCATGAAGTGGGTCTTTTTGTCATAATCAGTTTTTTTTAATGTTGAAATACTAACCACCAATTTGTCATTTTCAATCATTTTTTCAGAAGTTAGTTGTTATTTCGTTTTAAAGTTTACTATATTGGAAGGGAGAGCAATTGATAAACTATGTATGAATAAATTAGAAAGAACTTCTCCAACAAGTTTCAGAGCTTGAGGATACTTATTTATTAGCGCGAATAAGAAGAAATCCCATTCGAAAACAACAAATTATGTTTTGGGAAATGGGAATCTCTGTCAGATCAATGTCTTGCATAATAAAAAGTAACCTTAGGATAGGTGCATTTCGAATAATGACAGGACAAAGGCTAACCACTTCCCTAAAAAAAATTAGAGTGGATAGATGCGAAGTGCTCCTTGGCCCTTACACCAATGGTCTTCATCGAAAGATTTTGTTTAGCGATGAGAAAATTTTTATAATTGAAGAAAAATTTAATTTGCCAAAATGATCGTGTGTTCGCACACAGCTCTTAAGAAGCCCAGAAAATCATTGTAAGAATGGAAAGAGGTCATCACCCTTCCTCAGTGATGGTTTGGTGGGGAGTTTGTTTTGATGGCACCACAAAGCTCCATTTTTGTGAAAAAAAGAGTTAAAACAATCACTAAAAACTATCAGGACGATATTTTTGAACCTGTTGTCAAGCCTCTAAATGATACTGTTTGCTGGAAGCCATTGGGTTTTCCAGCAGAATTCCACTCAAGATCACAAGGCCAGATCAACTCAGCAGTGGCTGCAAAAGAACATTCCAGAGTTCATCTCTGCCTTGGATTGGCCCTCAGGAAGCCCTGGTCTCAACCCACTAGATTATCGGCTTTAGTCCGAAATGGAGAGGATGGCATACCACAGAGCACACCCTAACTTGGAAAGCCTCAAACAATCTGTAGTCCGAGCAGTTGAGCGCTTTCCTCCAGAACTGCTGCGTGTTGCTATTGACGACAGGCCATGGAGATTAAATACCTGTGTCAAGATAAAAGGGGAACATTTTGAGGATTTTTTTTTTTTTTTTTGTTTTACTCTCTGTTGAAATCTGAATATATTTCCTTGTAACAATATTTATGACAGGACTAGATATTATAGAATATTGTTTCTAATTACGGACCTTCCTCCACTATCTAAATGAGATAAAAAAATGGTCCAATGTTGGATAAATTATGGAAACACCACGGATCACAATAGATTTTCCCATGTCCTCATCAAATATAAATTTAACCACTGCAACCTAATCTCTTTCATTACAATATCTCCACTAAAAAAATATGTAAAAAATTACATAATTATTATATAGGGTTGACAAATAAGTCCTTTCGGTTTTTCAGTTTATTTTGATGTCACTATGATACACTTCTTATCTGATGAATAAATCCCTAAGATGGATTGTTTATCCTGTTTGTAATTCTTGAACAACTATATCTGTTAACTCTTGTTCCAACTAGCTTAGTATTGTTTGTTATTGCACTGTGAATATGGAAGAAAATATCATTCATTATCAGCATATTTTGTTGTATTATTTTAAAAAAGATAAGGGTGCTGCAGAAGCTCATAGAAAATTTTGAAGTGTTTATGGGGATGTTGCCTTAACTGAATGCACCTGTCAAAATTGGTTTGCCAAATTTCATTTAGGAAATTTTGACATCAATGATGCTCAATGGTCTGATCACCCACATGAAAATTGAAACTTAAATGTTAAGGCCATTGCTGATCAAAATCCCACCCAATCAGTGCGAGAGATTGCTATGGTTCTAAATGTGTTGCACATGAGTGTAGAAAACCATTTGCACAAGCTCGGCTATGGTTCTATACTTAATGTTTGGGTCCTTCACTCTCTAACTGAAGACAACTTGGCACGCATATTTGTTTGTGATTCACTTTGGAAGCGGCAACAAAACGACCCATTTTTGAAAAGTTTGGTAACAGGAGATGAAAAATGGATATTTTCATTTTGGATGTTACATACATACATATGGATATTACCTCATCCTCCCTATTCACCAGACCTACCTCCAAGTGACTACCACTTATTCCGGTCTCTGCAGAACTCCATGTATGTAAAGAAATTCCAAAAGGAAGAGGACATCAAAAACCACTTGGATTGGTTTTTTAATTATAAACTCCAGACATTCTATGAACATGGCATTATACAGTTAGTGGAAAGATGGGGAAAAGTCATGTTAAATAATGGTCAATATATTGTAGATTAAAATAAATTTTATGTCTATAGTACATTGAATTTTATTTTACCCTGAAAAACCGAAAGGACTTATTTGCCAACCCAATATAATATATTTAATCCTAGTTCTATATAAGAAGAAAAAGCTCTATTGGTAGGCCCAGGCCCCCTACGACCTCAGCCGCACCTCTCTTGTCAGGCAATGTTGTCGTGTGCAATAAAGCATTGTAACAAAAACAAAATGTAATAAAACATAAAGGAGGAAACAAGTTTTAAAACTATCTCAATTGGTTTTAAAAACTTTTACAGAAAACATCAAAAACATAGAATCATGCCCTATTAGGCTTAAGTAACCTCATGACTTTTAATAATGGTTTTTAAATATTTATTATAATTTTACCAAGAAATATTTAAATAGTTTATTTTTATACTAGATTAAGAAACTTTTGGTAAACATGGTTTTTATAAGTGACAGACATCGAAAAACAAAATATTTTTGGAAAACAGTGGATTGAATCAGTTTTGAAACTAATCGCTTTAACTATGGACTAAATGACTCTAAAAACTTATAATAAATTTTTAAAAATAGTCATAGATTAACTTATTTCTGTACTAGTGATCTTGGAAAAGAAAATTCGGTAGTGACATAAATCCATTTTATTACTGACGCATTAATACAAAGCTGATGTTTTGGGAAAACCTTTCCCATCATCAGAACTGTCTATTCCTTTCTATAAATTAAGGATCAATTATTAATATATTTCTACATTGATTATAAATTGTTACTATTTTAAGTTAATTTTACTTATCTTATAGGTGTGCTCCCTTTGTCAACACATTGTTTTTCTTATTTTTTATCATAACAACATCCGGGGCAACACATGTCTTCTTAATAATTGTTATCTTTTATTAAGAAATTAGTTTATCTTTATATTTTACACTTTCTCTACCATTGTTCCTCCCTTTGTAATGCCAATGGATGAAATCAACACATAGTATTGCTATTGTAACATTTCAAGCTTGGATCGATTCATTAGATCGAATATCGTCATATTGAAACTTATTCATATTACTTAATTATAATTTATATTATTAATTAAAAATTGTGATCTCGTTTCCTCTTCCTGTATGTTATATAATATTCACATTAATCTCAACTAGTCGAATTATAACGGAATACAACAAGGAAATTATAGGAGACTGTCAATATGGATTCACACGGAACCGTTCAACTATTGATCCAATATTTTCTTTAAAGCAAATATTGGAGAAAAAATTAGAGTATTGTTCACCAGCTTTTTATCTATTTCAAAATTGGTTTTGATAACTTTGACCACCAGAAGCTGTATAATATTCTAATTGAGCAGGGGATCCAGCCAGAAGCTGTATAGTATTCTAATAGAGCTGGAAATTCCAAAAACATTAGTGAATCAAGTTAGGATATCTATTTGCAAAACATTTAATAAAGTTAGAATCAGTCAAAAAACTTTATTCTGGGAGTCCCTTCAGAATAACAATAATGTACAAAATAATAGAATATTACTGGCCTGAACATTGAAACAATAAATAAAATTGATAAAATAAAATAAAAAGTAAAGACAATTTTAGGTGCACAAGCTATATACAATACAGATAAAACTATGTACAGAGCATTTAAAATTATGAACAAAACAATTAAAACTATGAACGAATCACTTGAACTATGAACAAAATTATATTTAAGGGTTGAACAACATAAACATACACTTTGAGAAATGAAGAACGAAAAAGAGATACAATGAGTTCATTTCATAAAAAAAAAACAAAAAAAAAAAACTTTACTTGAATATATATATAAAAATAAACAGTTACTTATAATTGAATAAAAAAAAATAAAAAAAATGTATGTATTGAAATTCCTACGTCGATAGTAGGAAATGCATGTACTATCTCTTACCAAGTGTTATGATTATATGATTGCTACACAATACATATATAATATTAATAGTTAGCTGGTATCAGACTGTTTTTGGAACAGGAATTGGAATAGGAGGTTTTTGAATGTATACAGGGAAGGGGCATGTCGAATTTTGATCGGGAGGGAATTCCAAAAGTTGACAGAGCGGGCTATAAAGGAATTTTGGAATGAGGCAGATCTATGAGAAGGGATGTATAGGTCAGAGGGTCGGGATCTTGTAGTGAGTGAATGGATTGAGGACTTAAATTGGAGAAGGTTGTAGGCATAAGAAGGACGATGATCGGTAATGATTTGATAAAGGAAAGTGCCAAGGAAATATTGTCTTCTTAAGGAGGGGAAGAGCCACCCTAACTCAGTGTAGTGGTGGGAGACACGGGAGCGTCTCGGGGTTCCAATTACAAATCTTACGAAGCAATTCATAAGTCTTTTGAGTCTATCACGCAGTTCCACCGAGAGGCCATCGTACACCACACAGCTGTAGTCAAAGTGGGGAAAGATGAGAGAGGAAACTAGGAGTCTACGGGTATTTTGGGGTAGAAGATGGCGGAAGTGATGGAATAGTTTGAGGGTAGAAATTGCACGGCGGGATATATGAGAGATATGGTGATTCCAGGAAAGGGTTTGATCTATGAGAAAGCCTAAATTTTTAACAAAGGGATAGAAGGTGATGGGGTGGTTGTTTAGATAGAGTGAGGGAAAGTTGGTGTGGGATCTAAGAAGGGGCTTGGAACCAATGAGAATGGCCTGAGTTTTGGCAGCATTTAGCCTTAATCCATTTAAGTTGGCCCAGGCACTAATTCGATCTAAATCTTCTTGAATTTTGGCAAATGCCACCAATAACTCAGCGGGAGAAAAGGATAAATAGATTTGAGAATCGTCGGCATAAAGGTGGTGGGAACAATGGATAATTGAATCATTTAGGTCATTAATATAAGAACTGAAAAGAAGAGGAGACATGCTTGAACCCTGTGCAACTCCTGAGGATAAAGGAAGGTAGGCAGATAGAGGTTGATTAGGTATGGAAACTGCTTGGGTTCGTTGTGAGAGGAAAGACTGGAACCAAGAGATGGAACTATTGGAGAAGGATAATGATTTTAGTTTGTTGAAAAGGATGGAATGGATAATGGAATCGAAAGCTTTGGAGAAATCAAGCAGTATAAGTATGGTTAGTTTTTTGTCATCTATTGCAGTCTGGATATCACTAGTAATTTTAATCAGAGCAGATTGTGTAGAGTAGCCAGGACGGAAGCCAGATTGGAGAGGATCGAGTTGGTTGGATTGTTCAAGGTAGTTGGAAACTTGGGATTGCACTAACTTTTCTAGGGGTTTAGAAAGATTGGAAAGGATTGATATTGGGCGGAAATCTTCGGGAGAGGATGGATTAGGCTTTTTGTTTAAAGGAAGGACAATGGCTTTTTTCCAAGAGGTCGGGAATATTGAATTCTGCAGGGAGAAATTGTAGATGAAAAGGAGTGCTGGGAGGATTTCAGGGAGACATAATTTTATTAGTTTGATAGGAATGCCATCTGGGCCTACGGAATTGGAACGGGATTTCATTATAACGGTAATAAGGTCTGTGGGAGAAATGTCGGAAAAATAAAAATTATTGTCGTTAAAAGGTACCTCTGGAGAAAAGCCGGAAGGGGATGGTAAAGAAGAGGTGGAAACCGATATAAAGTGGGAGTTTAGGTCATCAGGTGATATTGGGAAAACTGAGGAAGGGGATCTAGAAGG